ACACATTTTAAAGCATGTATAACAAAGCCTATGTAAAGAAATTGAGATTTACATAGCAATAGTCTCCATTTTTTTTAACTACACATAGTTTTTAAAACAATTTGAGCCTGTTATAATGATCAAAACTACATGTAAAACTATTTTGTATTAATAACTGGTAAATTTTAAAATTTCATACCACCACAAAATTAGGATTTCTAGCCAATGGCTGATCTTAATATTTAAACACATCATATTTAACAAGAAAAAATATTAAATAAGATGACTTGTATCTATTAATAATTCTACATTAGTCTTTTTTTTTTTTTTTTTTTGGTACTGAGGATTGAACCCATGGGGGCTCAACCACTGAGCCATATTCCCAGCCTTTTTAAAAAAATTTTTTTGTTTAGAGACAAGGTCTCAATGAGTTGCTAAATGCCTCGCTAAATATCTGAGGCTGGCTTTGAACTGGCTATCCTCCTGCCTCAGCCTCCCAAGCTGCTGGGATTATAGGCATGTGCCACTGCACCTGACCTAAATTAGTCTTTTTAACCCATAATAAGGGAGGGGGAGATTAGAAATTCACTGGATTAGACAAAGGGAAATGAAGGAAAGGGAGGGGGTATGGTAATAGGAAAGATTAGAATGAATTGGACATATCTTTCCTGTCCTCATATAGAAATACATGACCAATGTAACTCCACATCATGTACAACCACAATAATGGGATCTTAACTGAAACAATTATACTTATGTGTATGTATAATATTTCAAAATATACTGTCATGTAAAAAAATGATTATAAAAAAAAAAAAAGGCCAGGCGCGTGGAACACGCCTATAATCCCAGCGGCTCAGAGGCTGATTTAACAAGGATTGCCAAATTCAAAGCCAGCCTCAGCAATTTAGCAGGCGCTAAGCAACTCTTTGAGACCCTGTCTCTAATAAAATACAAAATAGGGCTGGGGATATGGCTCAGGGGTCAAGTACCCCTGAGTTCAATCCCTGGTACACCCCCCCCCCCAAATAATAATAAAAAAAAAGTTGAGAAACAAATAAATTCATCACACCCGACACTTCAAGATTCTGAGAGAGGAAAAAGGAAAAGGAGGGACCTGGTATTCATTTTAGTGCCATCCCTTTAACAGAAACACTAAGAAAGTTCTTTGTCTCTGATTTCATAACATTTAAGGCTGCATCTGAATTTTTTCATTTGCTTCTACCATTTACTATCATTTTCTTTGTCCAAACTCCAAGTTTTCTCTTTTCAAAATGATCTCAATAGCTTAAGAACTGTAGTCACACAAACTAATATTTTAATGGAGATGTACCAACAAATTTTTAGATTGAGAGAGATTACTCTATTTGCAAATGAATATAGAGGTTCTATAGATTATTATTCATTATAAACTTTTCTGATAAATTCTGCAAGCTTTTTTCTTCCTTCCCTCCTCCCTCTTTTGTGTACACTGATATAATTTCACATAGATACTATCTTTCAAAAATCTTATATGGCTTATATGAAACTTCAAATATGGCCTTATAGCATTTTAGAAATAATTTTGAGGTACAGTTTTTAAAAATTAATCAAGGGTCCCTCCTAATATTGTTGCTATTAGTTTCCTTTAAAAATGTTTTTGAACCTACATGATAGTTCATGCCTACAATCCTAACTTTTCAGATTTATGAGGATTGCAAATTCAAGGCCAGCCTGGACAATTTAGCAAGTACTGTGTCTTAAAATAAAAATTTAAAAAGGGCTGAAGATCAGTGGCAGAACCCTATACCTAGCATGTGTGAGGTCCTAAGTTTGATACCCCAGCACGACACACACAAATAAAAATAACCCATTCTGTAATTAGTGTCTCATAAGTTGTGACTTTATATTCTGTCTTCATAAATTATTCAAAATATTTCAAATATACATGCTAAATTAGACTATACAAATAAATAGCAAACAAACTTTAAAACATTTTTCTCTGTTCTTGGAAATTTAACAACAGGAGACATTAATGGCACACTGGGGAAAAACATGGCACTGAGAAAGAGACAAATTCTGAGTTCCTTTACAACTTGGTCTTTAACTGCAGACAACTCACTTAGCTTCCCTGGTTTTTACTTCTTCATATAGACAATGTGATTTCTAAAATTCTTTCCCACTCCAAAAGTTTTATGAATTTTATGAACTAAAATCACAGGGGGAAAAAAGAGGAAATGTTAAAAATATTGAGATATTTAATCTATAACATTCATCTACTCATCCAAATTTTGATGAAGCTATTATCAAACAATAACAAGCAACATTTTTGTGTTTCCATAAAGGAGAAAGCACAAACACACACACACACACACACACCCATGACATATAGGCGGTATACTACATTATACATTATTGAGAAAAAAATGTTAATATTTTTTGGTTGTAGATGGACACAATACCTTTATTTTATTTATATATGGTGCTAAGGATCAAGCCCAGTGCCTTCCACATGCGAGGCAAGCACTCTACTGCTGAGCTACAACCCCAGTCCAAAAAATTGTTTTTAAATTAAGGATGATGTCCATTTATTCTTAACTCTGGGAGGTTAAGTACATAGTTCTTGAAATATGAGAATATATCATTTCTAAGCCATTTACTGAGTTCAATCATATATATGTTATGATGAACATATATATGAATTATAATTATACCCATCATAACTATTCTAATGACAGTTTACTAAAAATAAAGAAGCAGGAGCATTTTCAATTCCTTGCTTCCAAGAGAAGGTAGTAATAGGCAGAAGTGATGAGCTAAAGTAGGGGTCACAAACTCAGATGCTTTCAGATGTCAGAGACAAATGAACTGAACATGCATGACAGCTTTATATAACACAATAGAGAATGGTAGGTCAGTGGCAGAAGTGTATGCCTTGCCTAGAAACAGCCTAATTAAAAAATGTTTTTTAAACTATCGAGCTGGCCAAACAAAATGTTTTTTTTTTTTTTTTGGCAAGCCATCAATGATCTTGGTCTATGGTTGTTCTTTTAACCATAAGTAATGTGGTTTTTCTTGTAGGAAAGATAAGTATCTTTATCACTTAGCTTACTGGGATCTACAGTACCTCATAACTATTCCAGCTATTCAAAATTGGTTCAAGAGAATATTTTAAAATCAAAATACTCTCATAATTAAAAAAAATAATAAAAAATTAAACTTTACTTATATTACTGCTATTAAATCAATGTTTGATAAGTAAAAATTGGGCACTTACTATATGATAAGGCATTATTAGTATCTCCTTAAGACAAGAGAGAGATAGATTAGTACACTGTATAACAATGTAGATTTATTATTTTACTACTTAGGATAATTCTCTACTTAAAAAAAAAAAACATTTAACACAAAGACTATTCACATATCTAACCTATAAATCCTTTATTTTACCTGGAAGAAAATACTTAGTCAAGAAAATTGCAGTAAGTGTGGGTTTAAAATAGAAATCACACCCACCACAACAATGCTTTTCACTTCCAGCTTTTTAGACTATAAGAAAATTCCCAAGGTGTTCACACTTCCCTAGGGCATTTCACCCACTGCAGTGCCCCAAGAGTACTTTAACTGTTATTCAGAGAAAGAAAGTTATAAAGAATTTATGAATTAAATAGAGCAAGTATGATTAGCTCAAATCTTTGCATTTTTTTCAAGTATCTTCCTTTTGCAATCCAAGTATATGGTTATTTCCAATAATTCTACTTTAAGGTATATGCCCAAGATAATTGAAAAGTTATGTCCACACAGAAATTTGCACACAAATGTCAATAGCAGCATCATTCAGAATAACCAGTAAGTGGAAATAAAACAAATGCCCCCAAACACCCACCTTAACAGATAAACAAAATATACTAGACATGATGGCACAAAACAATAATCCTAGCTATGTGGGAGGCTGAGGTAGTAAAAACAAGTTCAAGGTCAGCCTTGGCAACTTAATAATTCCAGATCTCAAAACAAAAAAATCAAAGGACTGAGAAAGTAGCTCAGGGGTGGAGAGCTCCTGGGTTCAACCCCAATAGTGCACACATGCACAAACAAAATGTGACATACACATATAATGAAATGTTATTTGCCACATAATGGAAAAAAAAATACCGATAGATGACACAACACATATGGATCTTAAATGCTGAGCTAAATTAATCAGACAAAAGAAAGCCACACATTATTTTATTCCATTTATATGAAATATCCAGATAGACAAATCGATCAGATTACTAGATTAGTGTTTGTCAGTGGTTAGAAGAAGGAAAGAATGGGAAATGACTGCCAAGGACATAGGGTTCCTCTGGGGGGTGATGAACATATTGTGGAATTAATGAAGATGGCACAACTATATGATCATACTAAAAATACTGAACTGTGCACTTTAAAAGGGCAAATATGGGCTGGGAATATACTTAATGGAGAGCACTTGCCTAGTTTCAGTGCCACTCTCACACACAAAGCAGGGGAAGAGGAGTAAACTAACAGATCAGTGGTATAGCTTAGTGGTAGAATGTGTGCTTATATAATTGCACGAGAGGTCCTGGGTCCATTCCTCACCACATATACATAAAAAAGTAAACTGTATTATGGTATATAAATTCTCTCTCAATAAAGTTATAAGGTATGTACTTATTATAATCTATTTATAATAAAAGATTTCAATTCTACTAAAAGGTGAGAGAATCCAATTGTGTGTGTGTGTCATCATTATGGAAAGTGGTTTTGTTTTTATTAGTTTGTTTTTGTTTTGTATTAGGGATTGAACCCAGGGGCACTTCATTGAGCCATATCCCCAGTCTTTTTATTTTGAGACAGGTCTCACTAAGTTGCTTATGTCCTCACTAAATTGCTGAGGCTGGCCTTGCAATCCTCCTGCCTCAGCTTCCTGAGTCACAGGGATTACAGGCATGTGCCATCATAACTGGCTGGGAAGTTTTTTTTTTTTTTAACCAAAAACTTCTCAAAACATTACTCTTAATAAACAGAAGACAAAATAATTTTTAAACGCAAATATATTTAAAAAAACACCTAAGAAATGCAATCTATACATATGAAAAAGTAAAATATTTATGTGCATAACAAGTAGTAGCAATACTGACCATAAGCAGCAGTTAGTGTTTATATTTCCTATATTTTGGTTTAACTACCATAGTTTATTCTTTTTTAGGGAAATTATATAAGGTATATATAGCATATATAAGTAAGTTATAGAAGACTGTGTAATTGGAAATTAATTCCAAGTAACAGTGTTTCCTCTAAAAACACATTTCTTATTAAACAAATTATTTTAAACTAGTGGACAACAAAATGAGCCGATAATTTATTAAGCCCAAGATATATAGCTAACTTGCATAAAATTACATATGGCATTTAAAAAGTCTATTTCTAAAATATCAGTAATTCAGGCAATTGGGATTTCCAGAGGAGATAAATTGCCATTCATTTTATTTTATGAAGAAAAGGTCTGCTTTTAAAAACCTTACAACCATGTTAAGAAATGTTACCACATACTTCAAAAATCAAAATGGTGAAACATATTCACCAATATGTTCTTTTACTGGTTGGTATTAGCCCTCAAACATTTAGCCCTCAAGCATTTCAGGGTGACTTATAAATGAGAACCTAATAATACTGGTTATCTAAAGATGTAAGAAATAAAGTACTTGGATTGTCTAGAACTTTATTAGAAATATATCTGCTGACTTCACAAAATCAACTTTTATATATAAGCAAAATACTAATATTTCTATTTGGGAGAAATAAAATACAGTGAGTAGTTTTCTCTTCATCTCTAACTGTAAAAATCCCTTTTGCCTATTTATTTGACCCGTCTCTCTCTATTCATGCAATTTAATGAGCCCTCAGAAGAATTTACACATTTTTATACAGAATTCACATCTACATCAGTAAACTGCCAGTCCTTTTATATTTTCAGTGCCTTATCAAAATATGGGTAACAAAGTTCTTCATTCTATGAGGCAGGAAGATGTTTTCTAAGAACTTCTTTGGATGATGAAGATATAGTATCTGGGAAGGACACCTCAAATTCTATTAGAAGGTCACCACGTTGGTCAGGATTTTTTGGAAATGGCAGCCCGTATCCAATAATTCTTCTTCTCATGCCAGGTTTCACAATATCATTTATTGACATAGGTATGTTTCTTCCATCCATTGTTGGCACATTAATTGAACAGCCACACAATGCCTAAAATGCACAAAATAAAATAGTTAACAAAACCTAAAACTTTTAAAAAATTTAAGTAAACATATTACCAAGTAGTAAAAAAATATTATTAAGGTAAAATTTTAACTTCCTAAAGAATAATAATAGTTACAAAACTTTTTTCCCATTAGAAAAATCCTTCAGGAAAAAAAAAAAAGAAAGAAAAGAAAAAATCTTCAAGATATTTATAATCAGAGATGTTACAAAAGATGGGAAAAGTTAAGAAAAAGGGAAAGGAGAAGTAAAGGATGCCTTTCACAATGCTTTGGTATGAAATGGATAAACTGAAGTTTCTATTACAACAATCAAGACGCAGAAATTGGAATGCAAGAAAGGAAGAAGGCTTAGAACTGGAAAGACCAAGATGGGAGCAATACCTATTTCTCTGTACACTTGTTTTAGTCAACAAATATTTACTATCTACTACATGCTACACAATTCCTATTGAACCACAGAGAAACCATGAACAAAGACGCCACCTCAGGAAAGCACAAGTAGCTCACAGAAACTTACAAGCAAACTAGTAATTATAGTCTGAGCACAGAGGTCTTTTGTGAGAAAAAGGGCATTCACATTATCACCCTAGAAAGCTGGAGCTAAGCCTTGGACTAGTTGTAGGTACTGAGAAAAGCTGAAGAACAATAGTGCTGCATAGAGGTGAGACTATGATAAGAATTATACAAAATAATAATAACAGAGCAAACTCAGGGAGAACATCTTTAGGTAGAAGTCAAATTTTAAAATGACCTTTTATTTTTAAGTCAAGTTTAGACTTTAATGTAGAAATTATGTAGAGCCACTTGAGAATTTTAGGCAGGACCTAAAATTGTCTTGGCCATATTTCATGGGTTATAATCTACTTTGAGAAATAGTGCAAATAAGAACTCAAGAACTATACTGAAGTACTACTATTATGTTATTATTTACTATGTAATAATTACTATAAAATATACATTATGATTTTAATACTTTGTTATACCATTATTACTCCAAATTAATAATTTTAGAACACATCTTATAAATGGATTAAGGTGATGAGATTTCAGGGCAAATCTTATAAACAACAACTGTAAAAACAGAATAGAGTTAATCTAGTATTAAGGTCTCATCATACATAATTCAGTTTGCACTTAAAATTGACATTTAAATGATTAAATAATTAAACTTAGAAAATATAATTTCATAAAAGATTAAAGGTAGTACTAGCTCAGAGAGTTGTTATAAGGATTACCATAAAAAAGATACAATAAGTACAAAATAAATGTTAGCTGTCCCTTAGATTACTCCCTAAGATCAATCAGCTGCATAAATATGTTTGGTTTCAGAATCCTAGGTCCTATTAACTTACCTCCCGTAAACTAATTTTAGCATTATAAATTATATTTGATCCATCTCTTTTAAATTTGGGGTGATCTTTGTCTTTAATAATAAAAACAATGTCTGCTGGAATACTATTTGGTGTTTCATCTCCTTCCCTTGGAAAAGTAATTTTGGTGCCTTCTTTCCACCCTTTTTTAATCTCAATGGTGAGAATTTTGTCCTCAGTTCTATAACTCCTTCCATCAGGGTTTAACCTTTTCCGAGAAATCTTCATCCGTTTGGTGCAACCATTGTATATTTCTTCAAGTGATACTCTAAGTTCATGAATAACTGGAGGATCTTGTTTGAGACGGGATGGCCCCACAGAATTCCTGTCTCTTGGATATCCATTCATGCTGAATCCAAAGGCACTAAAAGGATCTCCATCTATTTCCATTTCTTCTGAATCTCTACCACCACCCATCCGTCTTCCAAAGAAGATTTCAAAGGGGTTGGAACCTCCAAAAAATGCTGCAAATGTGGCATGAGGATCACCATGAAAGGTGTACCGGAAGGTACCTCCTTGTCCATCAGTACCTCCTGCTCCTCCTTTCAACCCTATGTGAAGAGATAAACATGATTACAAAATGTTTGCAACTCTTTGACAGTTAAACTTTCAAAAACTATAATGCTCAGAAACTTTGGCCAAATTGGGTTGCAATTTATTAATAACGGTCATAAATGTAATTATATCTAAATACAAATAACTAAATACCTTCTAAAACTTCCATCCCAAGTTAAATTTCTAACTTTCAAATTCTTCCTCCAAATTTTTAGCTTTAATACTTTATTCCTGGGCTGGGGATGTAGCTCAATGGTTGAAAGTTTGCCTACCATGTTTGAGGCTTTGGTTTAATCCTCACTCAATACTACACATACATACAAATATAATAATAATTTATTCCTGAGTATTTGTTTTATAATGAGTAAGAAAAAATTTAAGAATCCTTTATCTCATAAACTACTGGTTTGGCATACTGAAGTATACAAATATAAGTTTTTAAAATTTTTCAGTTGAAAGGTGTTTAGTAATCAATGCAAAATCTGAAGTTTAAGTACCATTATAATCAATAAATACAATTAATAATATATAGTTCCATATACATACTAACTTTATTTCAGGCCATCTTTTACTGTTTAAGAACTAAGAAAGAAACTCTATGGCAGAAAGGAAAAAAATTCCAACAATGAGGACACACTATGACAAATGGTTTTTTAGACACATTTAAATTGTTTTTGTAGTACTGTGGACTGAACCCAGGGGTGTTCTACCCCTGGGCTAAATCCCACTCCTTTTCATTTTGTAATTTGAGATAAGGTCTGGCTAAATTGCCCAGGCTAGTCTTGAATTTGAGATTAAACTGCTTCAGCCTCCAGAGTAGCTGGGATTACAGGTATGTGCCACCACACCCAGCCTAAGGTTCTTATACCTAAATACCAAAATTTGTTTATTTAGGCATATATCATCATAATTTTATTCTAAAAACAAGACTAAAATCAAGAGCTGTAAATATTCCTCCCACGTAAATGGATTTTGACTGGTTATTTCTGTCTATCGTGGACAACCCACTTCAGACTGCAGTATAGTGACATTTTGCTCGGAGGCTCAACTAAGTAAGATGTAGCTTACAAAAGATTACATATATTTGAAAAAGCATTTTCTACTATATGCTAAAGAAAGATTCTACTAAAACCAATAAAACAACAGCATAGTGATCTTTTAAGGGGTTGATACTGAGATTAAAATCAGCAAAGTCTCTGAGGCAACCTTATGGGAATTCCTAACCAAGGGAACCAGGAGGAAAATAAGACTATAAACTGATAAATGCACAAAATAATTTAAAGTTCCACTGGAAATACTCTGCATGCTCTCAAAGGGAGAGCATATTTCTTATTCCATATTGGCTTCTTCCATTAAAAGGTATATATGTATTCTACACCATCAAAAGTCTCAATTCATGTCTAAATTTTTACCTTTATCCATGAATAGAAATCTCAAGAGATCTAATACTCCGAAAATGTCAAAATTGAAGGATATAACCAAATAGCAGTTAGAGAAATTCCTTGTAAAAACTCAATGACAAGAATATGCTGGATAATAACTTTTAATATGCAGTTCATCCAAAACTCATATGTGTATGTGTGTGTGTGTATTTGTATATTTATTTATTTATTTTTGGACTGGGAACTGATGCCAAGGGCACTTTACCATTGAGCTACATCTACAGCCCTTTTTATTCTGAGACAGGGTTTCACTGAATGGACCAGGCTAACCACAAACTTAAAATCCTTCTGAGCTGCTGGGATTACAGTCGTGTTATCACTGTGTTTGGCTTTTTTTTTTTGGGGGGGGGGGCAGTACTGGGGATTGAAACCAGTGCAGTGTCAATCTACCACTGAGCAACATACCCAGCCCTTTTTATTTTGGGACAAGGTCTCAGTAAGTTGTCCAGGCTGGCCTTTGAACTTGAGATTTTTCTGACTCTGCCTCCCAAGTAGCTGGGAATAGGTGGGGTGTAGCTCAGAGATAGGGTACTATGCATAGCATGTTAGAGATCCTGGGTTTGACACCTAGTTCCAAAAATAAAATAAAATAAAATAATCCAAGTTGCTAATATTAAAGACATGAGCTACTGTGCCCAGCTTCCCTTTCATAAATTTTACTAGTACAATTATATTCCCCATGTTAAAAGCTAATGACATATTTCTTTAAATGAAAGAATACATATATAACTCAAGGTTATAACCAAGTAACTAAAATGAATGCTTAAATTATTTCAATAATTTTATCCTTCATCACACAGATTCATAGAGTATAATTATTTATTGGAGAGTAAAGTAAATTAGGGGCTGGAGATGTAGATCAGTGGTACAGTGCTTGCCTGTCATGTCTAAGGTCCTAGGTTCAATCCCAACTAGTACAAGGGAAAAAATTTGAAAAAAGTTAAGAAAATTGGTTAAATTAGCTTTTTAATCTAACTTTCTACAAGCCAAAAAGTCTAAATGCTTTGGAGCCATAATGAATTCATGGAAAGAATAACATTTTAAGTTATTACATCATGGGTTTGGCTTTCCCTAAAACCTCTCCCCACTCTGCCAAAAATGGTAACTCTGTCAGGATTACTGAATCCCTAAAAAGATTCATACAGAGTCTGAAGTATTATTTATCAAAACTGACAAAAAGCCTCCAATGCAGCTTTGAGGTTTTCCTAGATATTAAATGGTCAATTATGTGGCTCAGATAAAGAACAAAGCTACTACAAAGCTGAGAAAATTCTATCAAAATTCATGCCACTATTATACAACATGAATTATTATGTAAGTATCATTTGCAATATAGCACTTGAATTATAACAAGCATGTCATCAACTATAGTTAATCATGTGCAGTTTAACTGTTAATGGAAAACTTTAATATTCAACTGGATTTCTTCTTCCATCCAAAATATTTTCTAGATACCATCATCTATTTGTGTGATCAAGGAATGCATTCTAAAACATTTGCCTATTAGTAGGTCTGCTATTATTTTTAAAACCAACCAACAAATTTGCTATCTAAAAACAAATATTTATTGGGAATACTGTCCATAGCAATGACTTCCACTAGCTAGTTAACTTGATTAAAAGATTATCAAAAGAAGAAATACTGGAGAAGAATTACAATTTCAAGGAAAAAATGATACTATTTAAATAACTCTTACATTAAGGAGATCTAATATGTAAAAATCCGGACTTACAACAAAACTTTAGAGTTATAGAATAATGAGATCCTTTAAAGTTTAATTCACAAAAATCCAACTGACTTACATATTTTTAGAATATGTAATGATAAATACCAAAGAGATTCAATTGATTAAACATATAAGTTAAAGAGAAGAAGCTAGCATAAAGATTAATAAACTAAATGTAAATTTAATCATATAAACACCACTTTTTAGTACTTGAAGGAAATTGAGTAAACTGTAAGCAATAAACAAAATATGGAAGGCATAAAGAAAATGACATGCTAGAGCATTAGAATGATGTTATTAGAAACATGCTAGAACACTAGAATGATGTTATTAGAAATCTTTTTTTTTTTTTTTTTTAAATCTTTTAATGCAAACCTCTGTTAACATTCACTGGACTATTCAGAACTACACCTAAAACTTTTGGGAGAGAGTGGTTCAAATTCCAGTCCTAAATTTCTGTGGTTCTGTTTTTTGCTTTCAAAGGATTTAACTACGGAGAAAACGTATTTTTTAAAAATTGATTACATACCCTAAAATTCACTCTTTGTAAATATGTTTTGTGCCATCAACAAACCACTTATGGAACATTTCCATAATTCCAAAGAGTTCTCCAGTTCCTATTTGTAGCTAATCCCTATTCCTACCTTCAGCCCTAGGCAAGAAGATCTGCTTTTTTCTCTATGAATTTGCCTTTTCCAAGTATTTCATACAAATGGAATCATATACTATGTAATCTTTCATAATAGCTTCTTTCAGTTGGCACTTTTTGAGGTTCATTCATATTGTAGCATGTTTCAGTAAAATGGTCCTTTTAACTACTAAATAGTATCCCATTGATGTATATACATTTTCTTTTTTTTTTACATTTACTTTTTTTATTTTTAAAATTTATTTATTTTGCATTATAGTTCTTAATACACCATTATACAATCATTTGTCATACCTCTGATTACATATAAGGTATGTTGACACCAAATTCACATCTTCATACATGTATTTTGTATAATGACGAGAGTCTCCTTTCACCATCCATGCTATTCCCCTTCTCCCTTCCTTTCCTCACCCCCATTCCCTATCTAGAGGTGATCTTCCTCCCTTTCCCTCCCAACCCCATTTTGAGTCACCCCCCTTATATCAGAGAAGACATTCTGCATTTGTTTTTTTGGGATTGGCTAACTTCACTTAGCATAATCTGCTCTAATGCCATCCATTTCCCTGCAAATGCCATGATCTTATTATTTTTTTATTGCTGAGTAATATTCCATTGTGTATAAATGCCACTTTTTTTTTGTCCATTCATCCACTGAAGGACATCTAGGTTGGCTCCACAGTTTAGCTATTGTGAATTGTGCTGCTATAAAGATTGATGTGGTTATGTCCTTGTAATATGCTGTTTTTAGGTCCTTTGGGTATAGTCCCAGAAGAAGAATAGCTGGGTCAAACATTTTCTTTATTCACTAACTAATTGATGCTACTTTTGATGTTTTCTATTTGGCGCCATTACAAATAATGGTGCTATGGACTTTTAGGTACGTCTTGTGTAATATGTTTTTGTTTCTCCTTTATAGATTAAGATTCCTAAGAGTAGAACTGTTGAGTCATAAATAGGTTAAGTTTAAAATATCTTTTTTGGGGGGGATACTGAGGGTTGAAACCAGGGGAACCTTACCACTGAGCTACATCCCAGGCCCTTTTTGTTTTGAGAGAGGGTCTTACCAAGTTGCTAAGGCTGGCCTCACCTTGCAATCCTCTTGCCCCAACCTCTCAAGTTACTGGGAGGATTACAGGCCTGTGCCATCCTGCCTAGCTAAAACATCTCTGTCTCTGTCCATTTTCTTTTTTAATTAAAGCATTTTAAGTTACAGATTAGAGATTTTTCAGAACACAATGATTCTCTTAATTCCTAAATACATATATTTAGTAACAACTAAATTCCATGATTCTTTACTTCTACTGTACCAGCTCCAAGAATATAATAATTAAAAGTGGGGGAAAAGAATATCCAGTAAACTGATAGTGTCTCCGTAGTCCTAAAATTCAGTATTTTGTTACTACTAAAGAAACCTATGAAACCAGGCCTGCAGGCCAGACAGAGTAATGAAAAGCCAAGAAAAAAATGTTTTCCCACACTTTCACAGTGTATCTAAAGGGGATGAGCTGCTCAGGATCAAACCCAGCACCTATCCATCATTGAGCTACATTCCCATCCCCTAAATTAATGAGATATTCTGAGTAAGGTCAAATAATAAATGATACTTCTCTTTGAAGGAAGAATAATTCTAAAAAAATAATTCAAATACCTTCATTTAACTGTATTTTCAAGTAATCTATAACTATGGAACATTTGTGAATAGTTCAATGTTTATAAAAAAACATATTCTCTCCCCACTCTTTCTTTCTATAGCTTATACCAATTATCTGAATTAGAAACAACAACAACAAAAAGATTCAAGGCATATAGATGATCCTCATTTTGTTTTTAAAAATTCACTCACTGATGATGATCAATAAAAATCAAACTTGGAAAAGACAAATTACTCAAGAAAAGCACTATTAAGAAGTAATACAAGGGCTGGGGTTGTGGCTCAGTGGTACAGTGCTTGCCTGGTATGTGTGAAGCACTAGGTTCAAGCCTCGGCACCATATAAAAATAAATAAATAATATATAAACAAATAAAATAAAGGTATTATGTTCATCTACAACTAAAAAACAATATTTAAAAAAAGAAGTAGTAATATAGCCAAGAAAACTGTACCATTTGGTGATTTGAAAATTCTGAAGACAAATATCCTTAATAAACCTGAATCCCTATGGCTTTGTCACAGATAAACTTGAGCAATCAATGAGATAGATGCAGCCAAATACCTTAGGTTTAAAGCAGTGAATATCTATTCTTTAATGTGAATTTACAGTGCCACTCCATGTTCACAGATTTCTTTACAAAATTATAAAATAACTCCTTCAAAAAGAGTAGTAGATTACTGATAGTATCTCAAAATCCTGCTTAGCTTTTGAAATGAACCAAATCATGGTATTTTGAGTAGTATGGCCATAGGGAATATGCACTATTTCGTCCCTTTATATTTACAAGACCTCACATTGCAGATCTTCACCACATCAAAGCAAGCAGCATAAACTTCAATTTTGGCAACTTACAGACGAAAATGAAAAACAAGACAAGAGGTAAAAACCCTTTAAACACAATCACCCTGCTTGTCTCCATTTAATTGTTTAATTCAAAATGATAAGTCTCTGCTTGGCTCTGTTTTAAGAATATATTTCTAATTAGCAAAATCTGATGTTAAAATGCAATACAGAAAGCAAAGGGATAACAAAAAGTTTTCATAGCTACAATAATTTAAAAAACATTCTGAGACAAAAACTAATAGTAAAATATCGATTTTAAATTTTGAAAATATACCAGGAATTGTAGGAATTAAAAGGTTTTTTGTTTGTTGTTGTTAATTAGCAATTTAAAATAGTTTTACTTTATTGTTTTATTTATATATATATATATATATATATATATAGAGAGAGAGAGAGAGAGAGATGATAAACCTGATTTAAAATCCAGAATGATAAAAGGAGAATCATAAATTATCCCTATTTATGGTGTTCATTAATTTCTGATCACACAATGTAAGAAACAAAAGTATGGCATAGAGAGAAAAGGGAAGTTGTCATGCTTTCCTCTACACCTAGATAGTAAAATTTCAGAAAGAATTGTTACCTAAAAGAAAATCAGTAATTGTTCTAACTAGGTGGCCATTTTAGGTCAAAAACTGTATTTCTGGGATCTCATTTTTCTTGGCACACAATTACTGTTTACAATTAAGCTAAAAACTTGTTCTGGTATTTTATGACATCAGGAAAATTCTTTCCTCTCCAGGCAAAATGCCAAAAACAACTAGAAGCTAAATGCCTGCGCCTTCTGCTTCTAAGACAGACGACTTTGTCTTGTTCAGTCTACACTAGCCTTGCTTTAAGAAAGGCAAAAAAAAAAAAAAAATCTTCTTTTTGTTTGTGTGAATAAAAGATAAAGTACCCAGAATTTGAACATGTAATCTTAAAAATTTTTTAAATCATTATTGATTCTGGCAGAAAATACATCAGAAAACAAAACAGGTTGCATAAGACTTTTGACAAAATTCATTGGTGGGTATGGGAATTTAAGGTTTCTATTTAAATATACAATGTTAACAACAAAAGTCTAATGGTAGAGTATGTATAATACAAAATGCTAAAATCCCCCATAAAAGGCAAACAAGGACATTTCATTCATAGCTATGCAATACTCATTCATATAATCAGGGATGAAATCTTGTTTTTATCTATTACTTGTTTATTTTTGACATGTCTGAGGATCTAATTTAATGATAACCACAAGTCTTAAGAAAGGAAAGAGAGATGAAGAAACAAAAAGATACACACAAAATACTTACCTTCTTCCCCAAACTGATCATATATTTCTCTCTTTTTAGGATCACTCAACACTTCATAAGCTTCTGCGACCTCTTTAAATTTTTCCTCTGCTTGAGGAGATTTGTTCTTGTCTGGATGAAATTTGAGGGCTTGTTTTCGGTAAGCCTTTTTAATATCTTCATCGGAAGCTCCTTTTTCAATTCCCAAAATGCAATAATAGTCTTTCCCCATTTCGAATGCCTTGAAATGAACTTAGATTTCCCTTTGTGAAAGAAAACAGCGTCCCCAGTCTTAGCAATATGATTCTAAGAAAAATAAACCAAGCTGGGTATTTTAAAAGTTAAAGCAAATCAGCAATTTGGCTAGCTGTCTTAAGGCAGCAAGCAGACAGCGTCTCCGTGTTTAATTCCTTCCCAACAGCTCACTTACAGATAAATATACACTACACAAGAGACGGCCTCCTTCTGGATCCTCCCATTTTCACTACGTGTCTCTGTACTTTCTAGAACAGCAAATGCTACAGGACGTCACTTTCCCAGCTGCCTCTAGTCAAAGTACTGAGCTATGTTTTCTCCTCCTCCGTGATTAACTATTCATTTTCCTTCTGGCTCTATCATTTTTATTTCCTATTTAAGAGGCTAAGTAGATTTAACAAACCCAGTATTTCAACATGGAATGTTATAACCACATATTTATTTACTCCATTCTAGGTGAAAAAGCCACAAAAAAAATTACAGCCATTAAGCACTCCATGTTATCAAGTTACTATACAAGTGCCTTGAACTTATTTTAGGTATTTTAATTTTAAGTCATTTAATTGTAAAACATACAATACTAAAATATAGGTTTCTAAAAATTTTTCAGATAATTTGCTTCATTTAAAAAAATTCCTGGGGTTTATCAATCAGAAACTCAAATTAGTATATCAATTTTACATTGTAAAAAGACTATCATAAAGTTAAAAAGCAGTATTTTAAAATGAAGACTTAAATGATCTGAACTAGCTGTTTGATTTTTTTGTAGTATACAAGAGTTAACAGCTCTAGGAAACCAGTATTTTTTGTAAAAACTTAATACCTGAATTTACTATTAATTTAAACTAAAACAGCATTAGACTCACCCCCACATCCCCACTCCTGGGGTCACTAAAGAATTTTTGTAATGCAGGAAAGTTAGGAAAAAAGTATCAGGTTACAGATAATACATAATCATGTTCCTTATTAAGATCAAACTAAAATCTAGATATGCTATTTAAAAGGGCAGTAATATGGAAATATGTTTTCCTTTTCAAATACATTTCCCCTAATTAGAAATACATACTCATTGACAAAGATTTTGGAAAACACAGAAAAAAAAAAATCTCTCCATCATACCAGTTTAGGTAATTCTGTTAAATGTTAGTCTATCTCCTATTCCTTTCTTCTATGAGTATTGATGGTTATTTTCTATAATTTTTGGTTTTTATTAACAACGTTTAAATAACAACATTCATATTTATATATCCTCTGATGCCTGTTTTCTCATATTTTTTAATATTTTGAGACATTTTCATGTATATAACATCTTTTACCTGTATGGTTTTCTCATCTTTTAAAAAATTTTCCCATTTCTTTTTTCTTTTTTTGGTGGGAGCACTGGTGGGTGGTTTGGTTTGGTTTCTGTGGTGCTTGGGGATCAAACCCTAGGCTTCACATATTAGGCAAGTACTCTATAACTGATCCCCCCCCATTTCTAATAGAATATTGAAAAAAAAAATAGATTAATAAGAAAATTTCAAAAGAATTGTATCCAGTTCATAGTCAGTGTCTATAAACATGGGGGAAAAAAACTATGAGGTCTGAGGTATACCTCAGAGTGCTATCCTGGCATGTGCCAGTTCCTGGGTTCAATCCTAGTAACACACACACACCCCAAAACAAAACACTTTACTAGAAAATAGACATATATGTTTAGAATATAATGAAAAGGTCAGGTGTGGTGGCACACACACCTATAATCCCAGCTACTTGGGAGGCTGAGGTAGGAGGTTCACAACTTCCAGACCAGCCAGCCCTGTCTCAAAATTTTAAAAAAGAGCTGGGGATATATAGCTCTGTGGTAGAATGTCCCTGGGTTCAATCCCCAGTACCACCAACAAAAATAACAACAATAACAACAAAAAGGAGATAACCATGTGTTAATCTTTGAAGAAATGGTAATTTTATACACACACACACAGTATAGGCCAACAATGATGACTCAGCACTTCTTTCTGAATGGCTCATCTTTGTACATTGTAACAGCTATGATTTCTGGTTTTTCAAAACTCTCTAAAAACACCGTGGCATTAGAAATTTCTAACATTTATTTAACAGTACAGGTTACAAAGATCTGTCAGGTAGTTAGCAAGGTTTTTATTCTTATCAAGGAATAATTAATGGCAAAAGATACCTTTTAAATCCAGAACATTTAGGGAAAAATACTAATATTGAAAGTCACTGAAAAATTTCTATTTTTAAAAAGCACGCTTTCAGGTTGGAATTCAGTACATGGTTCAGTATCTAAAGCAGATAAAAAAATAATAAAAATTTCCAATGAAATTTCTTTAAATATTCATTACCAAAGGAGCACTGACATTATTGTCTATAAAAAACATAAAATTGTTCTATTAGATAATGCTGGGATTAAGAAAAAAACTTATCTGATTCAGTCATTTGGGTATTTCAAGTTAACAAGGAAGCAGATATAATCATGTTTTAAGACCACAAAATAAAATAAAATAAAACAGTCTGGCTAGGTTTTGGTAAAATGAGCAGGCACCTGCATACTCACAGCTTTGTAAATTTTTATAAATAATTCTTTCAAACATTTGGCAACAGTCATTAAGAAGCCATTAAATATGATATTTAGATGTCCCATAAACATCACACCTGGAATTTTATCCATAGGAAACAATTCAAAGATAAAAATAATTATGTATCCAGATAAAAAAGTTCAAAGACAAAAATAATTATATATCCATGTAAAATAGTTAAAAGATAAAAAAATTATATATATAAATGTAGTTACTGAAAATAGATAAAATGGGGGTAGTAGATCAATGTGATTATTAAATAGTACATTGGAGACATCTATTCTTGCACTCACTTTTTCAGACTAAGCTGTTTTGTCTACCACTGTGTTGAAAAACCATTACATATTCCCGTTAGATTAAATTTTGGCCATTCAAGTATTTATGAGATAAATTGTGGGAATTTTTTTATAGGGAAGGAATAACTATCTTTGAAAATAATTATCATGACAGAAATAGGAAGAGTCTACAAAGGAAACAGTAGTAACAGCCTTTAGGGAAAATGGAGAAGAGATAAGATCAAAGTTTATTCAATAAATGTGTTTTTAAAAGTAAAAATAAGGGCTGGGGATGTAGCTCAGTGGTAGAGTGCTTGCCTAGCATGTGTGAGGCACAGGGTTTGATCCTTAGTACCACATAAAAATAAATAAAATAAAGGCATTCTGCCCATCTACAACTACAAAAACATAAAAAGAATTTAAAAAGTAAAAATAAGGTAGTGGTAGCAGTTTGGGGAGCTGAGGCAGGAAGAATTCAAGTTCAAAGGCAGCCTCATCAACTTAGTGAAGCCCTAAGCAACTTGGCAAGACCCTGTCTCAAAATAAAAAATGAAAGGGGCTACAGAATGTAGCACAGTGGTTAAGCACCCCTGGATTCAATCCCCAATACCAAAAATAGTCTCCTTTCACTCAGGAAGTTTAACTTGCCATAAAGCATTAAAGTGAATACCAGATTCACCCTCAAAGTACTCAGACATCCTGCAAGATCATGTCACTGTCCAGTGCCTTTTTCAGACCTTTATTTCAGAATTTTAGTCTCACAGTGTCAAAAAAAGAAATTCTAGCCTTCCCCATGATATCATTTATATAATACTTTATAGTTTATAAAACACTTCCATTGTTCTAATAATACCTCAATAATAGACATTGTTCTAATATTCCCTCAAGATTAAGGAGTATGAGGTTGCATTTATTCAAATCTACGGCTTGTTTTTCAGATATCTAAATAATTACCTAAAATAAAATTACAGTCCATCTAATAATTACTGTCTTCTACAAGTTATACTTTCCTTAAGAGACTTTAAGCACGAAGAGGCATCACTGTCAAGGATTTCTGTAGAGCAAATACTTGATTTAAGTTTGGAACTTGAACTCTAAATTCTCATTCCTATGGAAAAGCTTCAGATTTTGAGCACAATAATTAAAATAACTATAAAACTTGCCCTGGTTGTAATCACAAATTTGGGGGTTGGGGGATAGAGAAATTCAATCCCCAGTACCAAACCAAACAAAAATGATACTTCAGCAGGGTGTGGTGGTGCATACTTGCAATCCCAGAGGCTGGGGAGACTGAGAAAGGAGGATCACAAGTTCAAAGCCAGCCTCAGAAATAAATGCAAGGTGCTAAGCAACTCAGTGAGACCACATCTCTAATAAAATACAAAATAGGGCTGGGGATGTGGCTCAGTAGTCAAGTAGCCCTGAGTTCCTGGATACAAAAAAAAAAAAAAGAGAGATAATTCACTCAACAATGGACTGAACCGCATATGTGACAGTAGTCCTTTAAGATTATAAATCATTTAGTTATATCACAGCCATCTTAGTTTATGGAAATACATTCAATGACATTCATACAATGATGAAAATCACCGAAATATAATTTCTCAGAAGATATCTCCATCACTAAACAATGCATGACTGTATCAAGAAGAAATGTATTCAGCTCTCCTTTTCCATTTATTCTCTATAGGCATCAAAAGATCTAAACATTGGGGGCTGGGGTTGTAGCTCAGTGGTAGAGTGCTTGCCTAGCACACATGAGGCACTGGGTTCAAACCTCAGCACCACATAAAAATTAAATAAAGATATTATGTCCACCTACAACTAAAAATATTTTTTTAAAAAAGATCTAAACATCTTTTCAAGCTTATAGCTAACAATAAAATTCAATAAAGTGAACAAATAAATGCTATTTAACTATCATGGGTGTTGGGAGACAATCACAGCATAGAGGAAAAAGCATAAAACTTGGAATAAGAGGATTTGGTTCAGTACGCTTAGCTTTGGTATGTAGTTACCCATATGAGTTATAGAAGTCATGTATTTCTCTTGAGTCTCAATTCTCTCCTCTATAAATAGCTAACACCATCTACCTCACTGGACTGACATAAAGACTGAGAAAATATTATGACAGGGCTTTATGAAAAAGTGAAATATTGTACAAATGTTGATTATCATGCTCATCTTGGCTGGAATGGTGAAGATGTGAAAAGCTTCAGAAAAGAAAAATGTAAGGGCTGCAGGTATAGCTTAGTGATAGAACATGTGCTTAGCATGTATAAGGCCCTGGGTTCAAGCAGCCATAGCACAAAAAAGATGAGGAAGATCTTGAAAGATTGCTAGATTTTAAAAGAAAGGAAGCAGGAGGGAGTTTGCAATTTGTACCAAGAACACAAAAGTCCACAGGTAAAAAAAATCATAAAATGTATTCCATATAGCAAAAAAACTAGTCCAGTTAAAAGAAGTTTAGGGAGGCTTGCCTTAGGAAGTTGACAGAAAAAGTTATGAACAAATGTTGAGTTTTGAAAGTCATTTTGTTTGATGACTGCTTGTTCATATTCTTCAAAAAAAAAAAAAAAAAAGTAGCTCTTGTTACTTCAAGAACTGGGGACA